TACGACACGAGCGCCGCGCGCCGCGCGGCCGCGAGCTCGCGCTCGAGGGGCGCGACGGCGAGCGCGCCGACCAAATTCGAGAAGGTCACGGCGGACAACAGGCCAAAGGCCGCCGCGAAGGGCCGGCCCGCGGCCGACGGGACGACGTCGCCGTAGCCCGTCGTCGTCGCGACCATGACCGACAGGTAGAGCGCGTCGCCCCACGCGAGGCCGTCGCAGCGCCGCAGCCCCGCGGCGCCGAACAGGAGGAGGCACGCCGCCGCGAGGCCGAGGCGGAGCCCGGACCGCCGCCGCCGCCGGCCCGGGTTTCTTTGCCGAGCGACCCAGTCGTCGACGACGCGCGCGGCGAGCGTGCCCACGAGGCCGAAGCCCGCGAGGGCGACGCCGCAGCAGACGGCGCGGCCCGCGGGCGTTATCGGCGCGACGTCGCCGAAGCCCGTCGTCGTGGCCGTCGTGGCGACGAGCCACGCGGCGTCCGGCAGCGAGCACTCGAGCCGCGACAGCGCGAGCGTCGCGGACGCCGCGAGGGCCGCGAAGGCCGCGAGCGCCTTCGCGATCGGCAGGCGCGGCGCCGGCTGGACCACCGGCGGGGCCTTGAGGGACGTGCCGCGCCGGCCGCCGCGGACGAGCGCCGTGGGCAGCGGCGGCAGGCCCCGGCGCCGTTTTGGCGTGTTGTTTGCGTTGATGATGGCGGCCATGCGGGGGAGCCGCGGTCGTTTCGGCGCGAGCAGCAGCAGCGCGAGCATGGCAGGGCCGCTGCCCATCGTTGTTTGTGGTGCGAGCAGCAGCAGCGCGAGCACGGCAGCGCTGCTGCCCATACTCGACTGCGAGCTGTGGCAGATTGGCGCCGGCACTGGCTTCGGGGAGTGGGGGGGTTACCGCAATGTTTGCGAACGGCCCGGAGGCGCCTCAGCAGGCAGTTCTAGGTGGAGCAGAAACAGAATGACACAGCCCAGTGTGCTTGGCAGTGTGACTTAGAGTGCCGCTGGGCAGCGGACCGGGGACCTCAAGGAGGCTGCCCCATCGCGTGGTGCAGCTGGCGATAGGTATCTTTGGCCACGTTGAGGCCGGACTTGCCCCTGGGGACTATCCGTTGGGAGGCCGTTGACGGGGCTGGAGAGGCCGTTGGGGGGAAGTGTCCTTGGCGTCCTGTGCTCCCCCGCAGCGAGCTGGGGAAGTAGCGCGGACACGCGAGATGAGGATGTGGTCTAGGCGTTCTCGTCGACGACAAGGGGCGGGCCCTCTGCGGGGCGGCCGCTCATGGCGTCGATGGTGCGCGCGAGGCGGTCGGCGACCTCGGGGGCCGTAAGCTGGTTCGCCGGGTTCGCGGCGGAGCGGACGTAGCGGACCTCCACCTCGCCGCTGTCGAGCGCGTCGTAGATAAACCCCAGCTGAACGCGGATGTGGCGCGATCGCGCGGAAAGGTCGCGTTTGCGCAGCTGCGCGATGACGGACTGGTTGTCGCAGTAGACGCGGCTCACGGGGAGAGTAGCGCCGGTGACGTAGGAGACCGTGCGTCGGAGCGAGATGATGAGCCGTACGACGACGACGAGCGCGTAGAGCTCGGCCTCGAAAGTGGAAAGCGCGGTCGTCTTCTGGGCCGA